CTCGTAATCGTGAGATTGCGGGTTCGGGGGTTCGAGCCTCAGCTCGGTCCGACGTTGTGTCCTTGGGAGAGGCACTTTACACGAGTTTCCCACTTGGCTCGGTCCTTTCGGAGATGGACGTTAAACTAGGAGGTCCCACCTCTTAAATAACATAATAGTGTTGATAGGGGCGTTAAACCCATACCATTTCACCATTTTTTCAAAGTTCACCTTTTAGATGATTCTGATAATGGCACAGTTCACCTTTTAGATGATTCCGATAGTGGCACAGTCCACCTTTTAGATGATTCAGAGAGTGACCCAATTCACCATACAGATGATTCATGAGATAGTGACTCAGTATTCTGAAAAGGTGATTCAGATAGTGGTACAATTTACCTTGGGGGTGAGTCAAATAAGGAAACAATACACCTCGGAGGTGATTCAGATAGTGGCACACTGTACTTTTCAGGGATTTGGATCGTGACATAATACACGTTCGAGACACAAAAATGAGTCACTCAGAATGGAGGAGTTAGAGGATCTACTTAATTAGAAAAAAAAACTATACAAAAAATCAACAACAACAACAAAACAAAAATGAAAAAAAAGAAAAAGAATCAAACAAGCATATAAATGATAAAAAAACATGAACAGTACACAAAAGTGGTTCGCCCTGAGAATTCTCTTCCAAGCAGGAAGAGAGAAAAAAAATCCCGCCTAACATGGGTTCGAACCCCGATCTTTTCTATGTAAGTCAGGGGTGGTAGTGGTGGCATGGAGGGAACTATGGTGTTGGGTTAACGGTGTGGGCATAACACCTCCAAATCTATCGTTACTTGCAGTTTAATGTTTTAAGTTCCCATTGACACAATCTGGATTATTTGGTCGCTTTTAATTAAGCACAAGGGGGCTATCCCGAAAAATGCTGTTTCGAGAAAATCGAAGGTAAAGTTGTTTGGACTCTTGTTCAGTTTCTTTAAAAGACAAGGAGAGTTTTCTCTATAACCAAACAAATATACACCAATGAAACCAAACTTCTCCTATACGTAGGGCAATTGCCACATTTGGTGTAGGTCAAGATTTCTGGAAACCCCTGAAACCTGGGTCAGCCCGCTTGTCCTTAAAAGCGAGCATTTAAGAGACGGTCACATTACAATGATACTGCCATTTAGAGCCAACCCAGACCGTGAAAGATATTATTATGTTCTAGCAGAATGACGAGGACCCACAAACACACACACACACACACACATACACACACACATACACATACACACACACACACACA